TTATTTAATTTTGATTTTATATAATTTATTATATATTATATATTAAATTTTGTAAAATCTCGATTTTACCGATTCGATTTTATGATTCCGATTTCACCTAACCAAAACGATTTTAGGTAAAATCTCGATTTTGACAACCTTGATCACAACTCCTTAGATGCAGACACCTTTATGGTTAAGAAAAAAAGAAAAAAAAAAGCCTTAAATGCATTTATAACCAAGAGTCGACTTTGATGGGGTGTAGGGGTGGGCCTGGTAACTTTAACTGATCCAGTCTCCCAAATGGTACCATCAAGGATGCTGGTAACTTACCCAGTCTCCCCGAACCCGAATGGTATCATCAAAGATGCGAATCCCTCAACAGTCTCCCATAAATGACAAAACCAAAGGAAATTCGGAATTTCTCAAGCATGGTAATGTAAAAGTGAATTTCCCATTTGCATACATCTTAGGCCCAACCAAGCCCAAAACCACGGAGATACTAATGATGTTACAGTTGCAAGTCAGTTTTTCAAATTGGATCTTGAATAAGCGTTCTCAAGCTTAGATAAATGTTCCTTCTAATCTAGACTAACAATTATTGAAAATAACAATTGCTATTTGAATAAATATTTTAAAACTCAAGATATTAAGGACAATTTAACCATTAGTAACTTACTCATTTCTAGTCTAGACTGTCGATTATTTTTGCACCCGAGCTGAAAATAACATTGCTCATATAAGCTTAAGCACATTATAAGATAGAGAGAGCATGATTGGATCGGTTAAGATTCAGTATCAGTTCCATAAATTGTTTATAGTTCCCTGCATTAAACATTTCAGGACAATACCAAAAGCATTGACTAAAAGCCAAGTCTGGTGTGATGACCCCAAATTTCCCAACATACGACTAGTGATTCACATGCGATGGCTGACCGACAGAATGTCAACACCTAAGTAGTTTGATAAAAAAGTTTTTCAGCTGACTTAAACAAATTAGGAATAAGAAACTGGATAATTGTGTCACTTATAATATATTTGGTTTGAGGTATATAGAAGGGAGAATGAATGGAAAGACGTTGTATCCTTTCATTTTCCTCTTCTTCCATTATTTGAATAAATAAAAAGATTAAAAATTAAAATAATATAAATAATTGACAAAACCCTCAAATCGCCCCTTAAAAAATATGGGTAAGGACGGATCCACCCCCCACAAAAATGAAGGTACATTTAGCCCCCCAACATTATCGATTGACCCAAATCACCCATTATTTAACTACTGACGTCATTACTGTCACGATCTCCGTTTAGTACGTGACACTGTGTTGTTTTTTCACACGCTGGAGGCTAATGTGTACCGGTCCTGCTCTTTTTTACACACAGCGTCACCCTTTATTCCCCTTTCCTTGTCATGGACCCCATTTAGCCTTAAAAAAGGAAGAAGGAAAGCCTACGTCTTTGCTTAGATTTGCAACGAAAAATCGAAGACTCATTTCTCCAAGAAATCTTTGAATTGAATTCACTTTTGAGTGTGGGATGAGAGTTGATTGAACTCTTTCTGGTGAATCTCAAGAAAGTATTAAAGCTTTTAGGGGCCCTCGCACACTTAGTGTTGCAGTTGGTGCTGAGGTTCAAAGTGAAGGACACAGTAAAGGTAAGCCTTTGCAATCGCTTTCTTTTGAAAAATGTTTGTTTATAGAGTTTTCTAGTTTGTCGTTGACTGTAAGTGTTGGATGTATGTGCATTTTGTCGATTATATAATATATTTTATCATTGACGGACCACATTAATTTTAGTTTGTGTTACCATTGACCAGAATGGAAAATGATTACTGGGGAATTTTGTCTATTTTCCATGAGGGGACATTCGTGGCTGGACCCCTTTTTGAGTACAAAGGGGGAATATGTACAGAACAAGCATTTGACTGTGATAGGTTGAATGTTGATGTTATTATGGATTTCATTGTAGGTTTAGGATACGAGGACGTTATGATTAAAAATGTTTACTACAAAGGAATGTTAGCAAGCATGCCTAGGCATTTAAAGTCTTTGGCAGGTGGTGATAGTATTAGGGATATTATGAGGATTGTCAGAGAAGAGGTGATATGTGAGTTTTATGTGGACCATGAGGTTAATCTTGCTGAAATTGCTTCTTTAGCAATAGGTTGGATTGATAATAATGTAGTTTATGAGGATTGGGAACCGCAAGATAGGGTAGGCCAGAATGGTAACAATGAAGTTAATGAGGGAGAAGAGGAATGTGACATAACCCAAGATAGGGCAATTGGTGGCAATAAGGGTAAATTTGGAAATACATATGAAAGAAGTGAATGCAATAATAGAGGTGGCTATGAAGAAGAGTGTTCTATTGATGATTGGAGCTCAATAGATGAAGAAGTAGATCCTATTGATGGTAGTGACAAAGATGATGATGTAGCCATTGTTGTGAAGGCTACTGCAAGGTCTTTAATGAGATCAACAGAAGGATTAGAAGTTCCTCCAGGTTTTCCAACACCAAAAATAGGGGTTAGGTACAAAACTGTTTCAAAGAAGCCTACTCCTAGATCTACTCCCACAAAGAAAGCAACATATCCAACCTTAACATACACAAGCAAAGGGGTTCCAACAGATCCTGTTGAGAAGGCCAGAAGGAGAAAGGAAAAGGCCAAGCTTGCAGAGATGAGGTATTAAACATTGCCACAACGTAGAGAGTCTTGCAAGGGGAAGGACTTAACCCTTAAAAAAGGAAAGAAGGGAGATCCAATACATCCATCCCAATAAGTTCCAATGGATAATGATGATGAGGGCATATATAGTGATAATGATGGGAGAGATAGTGAATATGCTCCAAGTGATGTTGCTGGCAAGTTGAGAGACTCATCAACAGATTCTAAAGATGACATTTTTCTTGCTCCTAGGGCAGCAGATAGACCAAGGAGAGCTACAAATGTCTACTTTAATCTTGCTTGGGAGGTCCCTATTTTTTAAGTTGGAATGAGATTTCAAAGTTCTAAACAATTCAAGGAAGCAGTCAAACATTATTTTGTGAGGAAATGATGTCCTCTTATACACATCAAGAATGAACCTAAGAGGTAAATGTTTTTTTGCAAGGCTGGTTTGTGCAGCTAGGAGATTTATGCTTCATTTGAGAAGAGGGACAACAATTCAAGGTAAAGACTTACTACCCATAACAACTTGCTTCAAAAATCCTAACAACAAAATGATGACTTGTGAGATGGTGGCTGAGTACTTCAAAAGCAAAATTTATGCTACTCCTTTCATAAAATGTAAAGACATGATGACATTTGCTTATAATGAGCTTAGGATAAATGTTAACTTCAACAAAATGTGAAAGGGCAAAAAGAATGGTTTTAAAGGAGATGGAAGGAAATTATAGAGATGAGTATGCTATGATCAATGCATTTGGGATGTACTTAAAAGAAGTAAACCTTAGAAACTCA